AAAAAAAAAATTTCAACAAACAGTAAGAAATGTTTATTAAACACTAAATCAGCATATTAGAATGATTTCTGAAGGATCATGCGACACTGAAGACTGGAGTAATGATGCCAAAAATTCAGCTTTTCATCACCGTAATAAATTACATTTTAAAAACTATAAAATAGAAAGCAGTTGTTTTGTTTTAAATTGTCATAATATTTCACAATATTACAGGTTTTTTTTAATCAACTAAATGCAGCCTCAAAACGTAAAAAAAAAATCTGAATTATTTCAAACTTTTGAATGGTAGTATAATAAAAAAAAAAGCTTTCTCTTTCCGTAATCCCTCCCTTTCACAATATTACAGGTTTTTTTAATCAACTAAATGCAGCCTCAAAACGTTAAAAAAAAATCTGAATTATTTCAAACTTTTGAATGGTAGCATAATAAAAAAAAAAAGCTTTCTCTTTCCGTAATCCCTCCCTGTCTTGCTTTTTCTAATCTGAACAATGTCTGAAACTTTGCATTACAAACACTTCCTGTGTTTATTTGCCTCTTTATGATGAATCGTTGTTGTATTTCCTCAATTGTAAGTTGCTTTGGATAAAAGCGTCTGCTAAATGATTAAATGTAAATGCAGTATAGTTGTTGAGTTTGCTTTCTGCTTGTGTTGCTTGAGCTGCAAGCAACAGTTTATCATTTTCAGTGCTGAAAACCATTTTAGTTTATGGCCTCTTTTTCTTCTCTTTATCTACAACTCTAACTCTCTTTTTCCATTGGATTCATGCTATAAGGATCCTTTGTGTGCCTCAGTTTTGCTTAAGTCCAATGGGTTATGGGACACCCCCTGTGGTGCGCGGTGACACCGATTCTATCTGGGGGCCTCCTCAAGGCATTAGGAATGTAGTAGAGTAGACATTTTTACACACTATAAATGTGTTCACACCAAAATCACAGTCACAGTTAACAATGTGCCCCATTCTAAAAAATTGTTTAATAATTGCATGTACCACGACGAAAACATGATGCTGATCGACATGAGTCTCTCTAAAGGAGGCTTTTCCAGTCTAACAGCTTTGCTGTGATACAAAGGAAAGTTTTTTTTAAGTATCAAGCTTCATTTTCAAATAGCTGCCTTCTCATTTGTCACAGTCATATACAGTATTTGATGATTGGTTAATATTTTTAGATTTCCACTGACCTTTTGTAGCCATCCAGATTTACACTTTATAAATGACAGAAGTCTAGAAACATGAACAGAAAATATTTTATAATAGAAAACAATACATAAAGGAAGAAATGTTAACCCCCATCCATCAGTGATCCTATTTAATCACTATAGTATACTCAACTAGATAAAACGTATATCAGAGGTTTTAAAAGAATAATTTTGCATTTATAATTCATTGCATTTATTGTATCTGATAAATTATTATTATCTTTTTTTTTTAAAGAGAGGGGATAAAGTTGTTACTTTTGAAGACGGGAGGGAAATAAAAGTGGGGACCATGATGGAGGCACTCAGCCAACAACAATGGAACAGATGGACAGTCCCTGTACACCTGCTGTAGGGCTTTGTGCTGCTGAAAAGGTCCTGGGATCCTTAACCCAATGTCACAGTTTATGATCCGCTGTAGCACAGCCTTCTACTCCCACTCGCATACTAGCACAAGCTTGCACACTTTAAGTGCAGGCAGTATGATTGGCATGTGAAAGTGGACATGGCCATCTGTTGCTGTACTGCAGTGTTGAGAGGAGGCAGGCACAGGACAGACTCTATTGAACTGAGACATGTAGTATTATTAAATAGCATGATTTCAATTCGTCACGATCAATACTGATGGAATCATTTATTTTACTTACTGATGTATGTGATGAGAGAGGGTTTTTTGTGATATCAGACTGCAGGAAATATTGAACTTTAAAAATCCCCCTTTTTTAGCACTCTAAAATGTGTCCGTGTAGAAAAATATGACAACGGTCCAGTGTCAGTTAATAATGCGTTGTGGACAGCCTTGTTGAGAGCCTTATCGGAGTGTCATGCCGTGTTGCTTACAGTTAGGGTTAAAAAACTAAAATTACATTAATTGGTAGAATAATCGGATTAATTCACAAAATGTGTAACATTTCATCAAGTCATTTTTTAAAATCAATTTTAATGCAAAAGCACATGCAGATACACCACCTTTCAAAAGTTTGGAATTAATTAAAAAAAAATGCAAGAAATTTAAATGATTATTTAGCTAAATTGCATTAAATTGATCTTAAGTGACTTTAATGACTTTTTATAATGTTATGAAAGATTTTTATTTCAAATAAATGCAGTTGTTTTGAACTTTCTATTAATCATCAAATCCTGGCTTCCACAAAAATATTAAACAGCACAACTGTTGTTTGATTATTGATTAGGTAACACTTTATTTTGAGAGTCTACTTTAGACATTTTATTAACTCTGTTAATTAACTTAGTTAGAATGATTTCTGAAGGATCATGTGACACTGAAGACTGGAGTAATGATGCTAAAAACTCAGCCTTACCATTACAGGAATAAATTACATTATAAATTGTTTTAATTTTTAATATAATTTAAGTTGTAATAATATTTCACAAAAATCGTTTTTTAAAGCATTATTAAAGTAAAAGCAGTCTTCGTTAGCATAGAAGACTTTTAAAAAAAAATAAAACATTACAAAATTTTACTGACCCCAAAGTTTTGAATGGTAGTGTGTATTCATCAAGCTTATTTTATTCTCTGGTCCCAGAACACTTTTTTAAAAGCAGCCACTGAGATACATAATTTGAGTGTCCCAGCCTTAAGGCATATGTGCCGCTCACATGCAGTTAAATACCACATGAACCCATAATACATGTGTTTATCATTAGCTTGACTGTAATTCAGTGAAATGACCTCTCATAAACAGCAACAGAAAAAAGCATGGCATTCATCTGTTATACCAAAAGACATTGTTTCATTCAGGTACAATAGAGCTAAAAGGGAATGACTGTGATAGAGGCTGGTAAAGTGAGTTCAGACACAATGAAGGATGATCAAAGCATACTGATGTCTTGCTTTACTCCACCTAATTTCTGGAATGTGCTTTTTATAATTTGGCTGAAGTTACATTAGATCTGCAAAATCATGCAACATGTAAAACTGACATAATCAGATTTTTAAAAATGTAGTATGTGTACTTAATTAGTGTTTTGTAGTAGGTGCATCTGGTTGTTAAAAAGAGAAAATGTTCTTTTACTGGTTTTATTGCTTCTAAAACTCAGTATATTCCCAGTTCTCCTCTTGTGATAAGTTCATGCCTCAGTGGGTCTTTTGTGTTCGGCGGCTCTTTGCTTTATGCTCAAATCTATTTATTCAGATGGGTTTTTGCTTACTCTTTGTGTGTCCCGGCACTTTGTCATAAATTCTTAAATGTATTTTGTGCATTAGCTAAATGGATGTAGCATGTATTGCCCTAGTTAGATTGAAGAATTCTTACCCTAAACCCTCCAGATCCTGATCTGATCTAGAAAGAGTATAAAACCATTTCTGTTCTGATGAATAGGTTTAAATTTAAACATGCACAAAACACAACAATAGGCATTCACTGGATATAATGGGGACTTGAATGCTTACATTGAAGACATTGTGCAATTATTATCCTGCTGTTCCCTCCTATAATACCACTTGGGTGTCTTTGATGCAGTATTGTTCTGATACTTAGAAAAGAAGTAGAATTAAGGCTACTGATGATAAAATAAAAATGACATGTGTAACATGTTGACAGGCTGCCTCTCTTGTAAGAAAACACTTTATTTAAAGGGATACTCCACCCAAAAATTAAAAGTCTCTCATCAATTACTCACCCTTATGCTGTCCCAGATGTTCATGAATTTCTTTCTTCACATGAACACAAGTACACAGTCCCTATAACTGGTTGATTACATCTACTTTATTATAATTGATTCATAACCCTACTGTTTTACCTCCTCAGGTACGTTAAGACCAGTGCGACGGAGTTTCTATGACCCCACCTCAGCACCAGGCCAAGGTTGGATATGGGAGTGGGAAAATGATGCAGGTTCCTGGACGACCTATGACATGGAGGTGATCATTGCCTTGCAAGCAGCATGGGACCGACAGCAACCCTGGCTGGATCTGACATCGATGGGCTTTTGTTACTTTGTGGACTTCCAGACCATGACCCAGATTAACAGGCAAACACAGCAGCAGCGGCGCATCCAGAGACACTCAGACATGGTTTACCCACTAGTCTCTGGGCCACTGTCTAAAACCTCACAGGCTTGGGGTACAGGCTCAGGGTCTGGAGGAATTGCTAAAGGACTTACATCAGGTGGGGGCTCAAACGGGGCACTTCTTGGGTTAGGTGTTTCTGGATCTACCTTGAGTAGAAAAGGAAGTGCGGTTTACCCAAGCGGGACGCTTTCGGTATCATCTCTCGCTCCTCCTGGACAGCCATGCACCTGCCAGCAGTGCATGCTGGTGTTGAGTGTAAAGGCAAATGGCACCTCAGCACAGACACTGGGACGTGCAACAAAGCCAAACAGTCCTAAATCCAACTTTGGGACACTTCCATCCACCTCTGCGTCCATGTCTGTTTTAAACTCCTATTCTCATACACTACCACATGGCACGTCTTTAAAATGCTCGCTCTCAGAAGAAGCCAAGAATTCTGCTACTTTTGATCAGTCATTGTCTCTTCTCACATCGGGCACTGCCAATCTCTCAGTCTCCTCCAGCCGCCCACCGCCTCCAACTCTGCCATCGCCGAATCAGCAGCCTTCATCCGCCCCAAGCTCTTCGTCTTCTGCAACATTTGTGCCAACCGCCATGCTTATTAACACATCAACCAGTCGCTCATCATCCACAGATTTGACGTCATCTTCAACATCGTTGCCTTCTCAACGCTCTGCTGCCTGTGCTGCCCCTCTGCCATCTCGTGCCAGTCTGACAGGGCTTAGTCGGCCTGCTTTGCAGAGAATTGCCATGGCACAGTCACGGGCCCTTATTGCCTCTGGGTGAGAAAAGCCATTTTACCTTTCTCTTTCAGTTTCCCCCAGTACACATTATAGTTTATTTCATTATGCTATGATTTAAATGTATAATATATAATATCGTTAAAAAGGTTAGGGTTATTTTATTTTTTATTTTTGGAAGAAATTAAGGTAACAATTTATTTCGATAGTCCACTTTAGACATTCTATTAACAGTAAGTAACTTTGCAACTACATGTCAACTAGCAGTTAGTAGAGTATTAGTAGACTGTCTGCTTAATATCTTCTAACACTTTCTTTGTCAACTTATTCTACTAACTTATAACTACTAAACCTACCCTAACAGTCTACTCTGAGAGTTAGTAGACATGTAGTTGCAAATTAATGAGAATTAGTTGACATGTAGTTACAAAGTTACTTATAGTTAATAGAATGTCTAAAGTGGACTATCGAAATAAAGTGTAACCGAAATTAATACTTTTATTAAGCAAGAATGGATTAAACTGATCAAAAGTGACAAAAAAGACATTTATAAAATTACAGAAGATTTTAGTTTCAAATAAATGCTCTACTGAAAAAAAAAAATTTGAAAAATCATTGTTTCCAAAAGAAATGTCATCATACATCAAATCACATCAAATCAGCATATCAGAATGATTTCTTGAAGGGTCATGTGATGCTGAAGACTGGAGTATTGATGCTGAAAATTCAGCTTTACCTGACAGAAATAAATTACATTTTAAAATATATTTAAATACAATTTGATATAACTTTTCTAATAATATTTCACAATATTTCTGTTTTTACTGTATTCTTTCAAAACATAAAAAAAAAAAAACTTTCCGACCTCAAACTTTTTAACAGTAGTGTATAGGGATGCACCGAATGTTCGGCAACCGAAATTAACAAGCGAAGAGACCGAATAAATTGTACCGAACAATGATATGACGCGATCAAATAGCAACCAGCGCAGAGTGAGAGGCGCGCACTCTTTATTATGCAGCACACACGTCAGCAGCGTGGAAGCATTTAGACTGTCGGAGAAAGACGCAAAAATCATTACAAGCACCGACAGCGAGAGACTGTTTAGTAAATACATGGGGAAAAAAACTCTTGTGTTCAGTATTCGGCCTTCGGCCCTGTGTTTAATTTTGTTCGGTTTCGGCTTCGGCCAAGAATTTTCATTTTGGTGCATCCCTAATAGTGTATATTTATATTATTATAAGGTCTTACAATAATAATGTTGTTTGCATATAATATTATGTATTATTTGGATATTTATGCCACACTCAATGTGATGTATGAATGTCACTGCATTAGATAACAGAATATAAAATGTCGGTGGTGTCTTATTTAAAAGAAAGATACAAGCACAGTTTAATAAAAATTATTGCTAATAAAACAATAAATAAACTGTTCATAATTAACAAATTTAGCACTTTCCGGATGCTATCGACATGTTCTACTGACAACCAGACAATGGCCAAAGAATATTAACCTGTGGTTACTGTGCTTGGAAACTTTTGTGAACTTCAGGAAACAGACTTTGCTGACTAAAATGACCAGTATATATATATAGTATAGTGTTAATAGGTGTGAGTTCAGCTCATGTATTAGTGTGTTCTTGTATTTTACCCCTCCCCTGTGTGGGAGTGTGTTTCTCACACTGCTAAATCATCCATGTCTGCTCTGTTTGATGACCATCTGGGGGAAGAATGGTCTTATTCGTTCCCTCCCCACCCCCTTTATGTCTATAGCTGTTTCTCTGGCTTTTCCCCCAGCCCTCAGTCGTGATTTCATGTTCACGCTGGGTTTCTGCAGCAACCTTTGTTGACAAGACATGGGCTGGTCTGCATTAGCAACACAATGCTCTCTCACTGAAGCATTTGACATAGTAGCGTGTGTGTGCATGTCTACGTTTGGAAGGATTTGGGGTGACGAGCAAAAGGTTTCGACGTTGACTGTTGTAACGCTTGTGTCCCAGTGTTTCCTGAAGCATTAGTAGACATGACATTTGGTGATAGGGGTTTAGGATGAAGCTTGAGTGGATTTCAATAGTTTGAGAATAAACTGTGTGTAAATACAGCCAGGAACAGATTTGAGGTATTTTGACTCTTTTGTGGCTAATTATGATGTTACATGCTAAAGACAGCTGGACTATATATTATTAAAAATTGTACCACGGCTAGATTATAAATCAAATACAAATGAAATCATCGAACACAGGTGTTACATACATGTGTGAGAACATGGTGTGTGTCTGGTGCTCTTTCTAATTGTACGTTCTGTTTAAGACGTAAAGCCATCTGGAGGCATAGAGCAGCAGTTGTTGAGCATGTGTTTGAGAGAAAACAAAGCAACAATTCTGTTGTAAAGGCAGGATCAAGGGTCAGTGAAGGTCAAAAGCTTCCCCGTTGGCCTTACCCAAACAGTCATCTACCCTCCAATGTCAGGCACTTATGTTATTTCAATGGAAAACAAAACAGGCATACAAATAACAACTACTGCTGCAGTGTTTATGATTGGCTAAAATGGTTTTAGCCAATTCTAATCTGTTAGCTAATCTGTCATCATTTTGAACAAACATGCAACAAGTCCTTCCTGTACCACTTAACCACTTCAGCATATTTGGTTCAGTTTTCACTTTCGTGTGAATAAAATCGTGCTGCAAGCAGAACTTCTATTCAAGAGAAAAAAAAGTGTGGCAGTTAACAAATTAATTTATCAGTGTCAAAAACCTTTCTTTTTTCATTTGTAGTGCCATTTTTCATAAATATTATTGTGAAGTTGTGGATTTCAGATTCACCTGTCCCTAATCGTCACATCACGGCTCATTTTTTTCTATGTCATCTGACATAGTATCCTTTGTTGGTATCAGCAAAGTATTGTTATTTGAGTTTCGGAAGGATGGGAGCATGACAATGAGGAAATGTAACCATAAACGGAGGCATTGCTATTTAGGTCAGCTATGCACCCGTTGACAATAAAATGTCAGAAAATGTCTAAATAGACTGTTACACTTGAAATGTAGCATTTCAGATGTAATTCCAAATAATGCATTTAGCATTTTTATGCAAAGACAAATACGAATTTTGTGTAGAATATGCTTTAGCTAAAGTTTCTCCCTGATTTCTTTTAAATTGATGACTAGTCATTGTAAAGTCAAAGTGAAATATGATTCATCGCCTGCCTGATGACTTAGTAGTGAACCATTGACTGTTAATCTCAAAATATTTGATGTTTTCTGACAGCAGACTTTTAAAGCGTGTCTGTGTGCATTTGAAAGTGTATTAACAGCTTCTACATTCATGCACATTTTTCTAAATGTATAAAGCCATAGCTTTTTTAAGACTAGCAAATAACAGACTGCAGTAAAAGGAGATAAGGAGTAAAAGGAGATAAGAAAATAAGTGTGAGAAAACACGGCATAAAAGACATTGAGTGTGTAAAGAGGGAAGTAAAAGGGCTGTACATTAGAGTTGCTTTTTTTTTTTTTGAAAACAAAACGTGCTGTGAGATGCGTTTGGTATTTTGTTCCTCATTTTTCACACTGATTTGACCAAAAAATTTGCTTATATAATAGTAAATAGTCATTTGATACTTAGCCGAAGTGTCAAAATGCACTTTCAGTTAAGTATCATATAACTGTTGATGTTGGAGGCAGAACAATGCTTTATGTGCACGTTAGTCGTTGAACAAGAACTGCATGTTGTACCCTAGAAATTCAATAGGTTGCTGGGAAAATTCTTGGTAATGAAGAAATTGGTAGAATATCTGTGTCCTAGTTTTACACAGCATTATCATGATATCTATAGAAATTTTGAAATTCAAATAAAAGTCAGTCATCTTTAACTTTATTTTATGTTTTCTCTTGTACGGCCAGTGAAATACACTCAAAATATGAGTGTGTGGAAGGTTTCTTTTAGTTTTATGCAGGGTAGCAACCAATAAGGCAATACTGCCACCTACTGTATTGGAGTGTCAACCAGATACCAGTTACTTGCGCTGTATATTATCAAATGTGTAGCGTTAACACAATATCAGTATTTTATATTTGAAATATCACAGTATATTGCAACACCCCTACACTAAAAAAATCTTCCGTTTCAAGAGGGAAAGATATTGCAGTTTTTAAGTTTTTAGTTTCAGATCTGTCGCTTTGGTGAGAGTTGCATTTTAGCAATATAGGAGAACATTAAGTAAGACAGCAATCAGTGTGTCCATTGGCCTTATAGAGCTTATTTTTTTTCTCTCTCTCTTAGGGTACCGACAGTACCAGTGAAGAATCTTAATGACTCCAGCACTGTCCATCCGGCTTTAGCTGGTAGGAAAATAAGACATATTCCTTATACATTTTCAGAAATGATAATGTACATTACTTAATTCTAGTTTATACATTATAATCTGTTAAAACATACGCATTATGATGCTTTGCAGGTATTACGGGTATTCTGATGAGTGCAGCAGGACTACCAGTATGTTTGACCCGTCCACCAAAACTAGTTCTGCATCCCCCACCTGTCAACAAGAGTGACATAAGACCAATTCCTGGCATTGGGAAGTGTTGCCGCAAGACCACCAAGAAACAAGCACGCAAAGGTAAGAATGCATGGGTATTTGTACGTATAGACAAATTCACAGATAAACACGCTGTACTGCAGTGTTGCTTCATGATTTTGTTTCTGAAAGCTGCTACTGCAGAAGCGATGACCAAAGTCCTTAAGTAAGTTTGCACTTTATCAATTCATGCCACAGTACACTATAGTGGCGAAAGAAGTCTTGCTTGGTATAACAGATTTATACTTGAGGAAACCACTGAAACATAAATGCAACAGCCACCAATCTCTACCAGCTGTCGCCATCGATTGCCATTCAGCAGATTTATATACACACCAAATGAAATTTGAAATCTCTACATACTAAACATAAGTGATTTGTTTTCAAGGTAGAACACCTGAGGAAGTGGTAAAAAGGTACTTGCAGAAGGTCAGGAATCCACCAGAAGAAGTAAGACATCGTTGTTACTTTGTTTCCTTAATCGTTATGTAATCTAAACCTGGCAGCAAATCTGAGCTGGCAGTAAAGTGTACACACAGGCCAAGTAGCATTGTAGACCTGTATTAACGAATCCTCCTGGAAAACATGAAGAGACATGAAAAGTTGGTGTCTTTTTCAAAGGCACATTAGTTTATTTTAGAAAGAACGTATTTTTCGTTCTATATTTCTCTCAAGTTGTAAAAAATAAACATGAAATTCTACACGTACACGCACCTATAAGTGCATATAGCAAGATGTAACTAACCATGTAATTGTGCCTAGTTAAAGGGGTCATATGATGCGATTTCTATTTTTCCTTTTCTTTAGTGTGTTATGTAGCTATTTGTGCATGTATAAGATCTGCAGAGTTACAAAGCTCAAAGTCTCCCACAAAAGGATTTATTCTATCTAAAAGAGAAGGCTGATCCAGAACGGGCTAAAACGCCTCATTCAAACACGCCCCCACATCTCTA